GACCATATGCCTATGCATTTGAAATTTTAGAAGAATGGACAAAATCCTAGAAAATAATCACCAAAACCCACTCGGAAGGGAAGAAATCCTGGCAGGAACTTGATCTAGAATGTATGCAAACACAGCCCGTCTGTCCCCTGGGGCTCAGTGGGCACATGGTACCAAACAAGCTAGAAAGACGCCCTCCACCTTGATGCTCCCTCTTCCCAAAATGCCAAGAAGCATGGCTGATCCTCAAATCGTTTATGAATCAGAAAGCGACTTCTAACAGGGCACCTGCAGCCCCGGGGGTCACACGGAGCCTTCGTGGGAGGATGGAGCGGAGCACAGAGAGAGCGCCAGGGAGGGCCAGCCCCGGACTGCACGTCGTTGACCTGCTCTGTCACAGTGGACGAAGGCCACCGAGCCGACAGAAGAGGACCCTGCTCGGTTCAGCAGTTCAGACACAGTCGAGGGGCATCTGGGTTGGGCAAAGAGCTAAGTGCTGGACTCAGATAAAAGGTCCACACCCCACAAGGCACCTCGGGGCAGGCCTGGCGCTCAGCAGGCTTCTGAAAGGACATGGCTCGCCCTGCCCTCGGAGCTCAGGCTTCTCTGAACCCAGGGGTCACCGGGAGGGGGCACACACCAAAACAGCCAGCACCAGCAACACCTGCAATCACAGACTGCCCGCTGCGATCCGGCTGGGCCGGGGGAGGGGGGGAGGGGCTCTGGCCTAGTGTCTGCTCAGTAGCGGGCCAGGGGCTGGCCCAGGGCCTGCTCAGTATGTGGGGGACCTTGGCCCGGTTACCTGCTCTGTGTGCGTGTGTGTGTGTGTGTGTGTGTGTGTGTGTTGGGGAGGCAGGGTTCTAACTGGGTGCCTGCTCAGTGCGGAGGATCCGGCCACGTCTTCCTCTCTGGACTCCCACTGCTCGGCCTGGTGTTGGGCAGGGCACTCACTTCCTCGTCCGTTCCGTGCCTAACTTGAAGGGTCCTGGTCCCAGCACACAGCTAGGCTTCCCTTTCAGCTCAGGCACCTTGCTCCTAGACACACAGGGTGGGTTTATTTATTAATTAAAAAAATCATTTTATTGGGGGCTCGTACAACTCTTACCACAATCCATTCATCCATCCATTGTGTCAAGCACATTTGTACATTTGCTGCCCTCATCGTTCTCAAGACATTTGCTCTCCACTTAAGCCCCTGGCATTCGCTCCTCATTTCCCCCCCTCCCTCCCAGCTCCCCCCTCC